TTTTATTATATATCATATTTTATTTATATAATAGATATTTATAATATTATATAATAAAAATATATATTAATAGAATAAATATAAAATGCAATATATAATATACTATATTATTTATATAAATATATATTATATAAACTATATATTTATATATTATATATTTATGTAATATAAGATATTCTCATATATATATATATATATATATATATTAAAAATAAATATAAAATACAGTATATCATATATTATAGTATGTTATAAATATTGTATATTTATATTTAAATTATTATCACTGTAAATATAAATATAAGATATCTACCATATATACGAGTTATCAAACACATAAACGATGAACTTCTTAACTTCCCAGAAGGTTATCAAACACAAAAACTATGAACTTCTTAACTTCTCAGGAGGTTATCAAACACAAAAACTATGAACTTCTTAAGTAACTTCTAATTTACAGTTCTTCAAGAACTTCCAACTTACAGTTCATGAACTTTCTTCCAGTTATCAAACAAGCTTTAAAACTATATTAACAAAATATTATGAACCTATTATAAAATATATCATTTTTCTTTTCGTATAAATATCACATTTGCTTTTATCAAATTATGCCAATACCCTTAAAAAGTGAGCAAAGCTTCAAGAAAATAGACACGTTTTCATTTATAATACATTTCAATATGTTGGATTTCACATCTACTGGATAAAAAAATTGTAGCCTTCTTGTATCAAAAATAAATGACCATATAGTATACAATCCCATAAATCCAACCCTACTAAAAACTTTCACAAGAATAGAAAGGAGAAATTTATACATCAATTTATGATAAATTGCTGTCTTTGTTAACAATGAAGGGAAAAATCTCTCGTTTTCAATCATTAATGAAAATCTCTCTCTCTCTTCTCTCTCTCTCGTTATAACTCGCAAGAAATCAACATTTCCCATTTATCCCTATTCTACAAGTGTTGGAAAGAGCGACTCGGGTTTCTAACTCGCCAAAATCAACATTTCCAATTCATCCCTCTTCCACAGAGTGTGGGAAAGAGTGACTCGGGTAGGGTGCTCGGCACAGGCCTGAATTTGACTTACTCGGCCTGAGTTGAGCTGAGTTCTACCAAGGCTATAAAGTGTTGTAAAATATATACTTACATGAAAAAATCTAATAATAAAGGAAACATCTTTAGGGCAAAATTAAATAAAATACGTCAAAATGAGGTTAAAAAAGTATTGAAAAAATAGGTTTTGGAAAAAACACTTTTGTGATTGGGGGTATTTTTAAAATAATAAAAAAAATGAAAAATATATAAAAATAAGAATTCAGGGTCAAAAAATACTTTTTAATCTTTGCCAAAATGATATAAAATATATTTTTAAAAAAAAAACCTAATAAATTTCATATTTATTGTATTTTTAAATATTTTTTAAATTCATTCAAGATCACACCCGGATATTGGCGACCATCCGAACTTGCTCGCTGGAGTAATAAAAAACTGCATCCACGATCCCATTCTCTCCCACTCCAAGTTGCCTCATTTTAAGTTAAGGGTTCTAGCCTAAGGAACCTCGTCTCTCTGTAGTTTCAATCTGTGCTTCAAATTGTGTGGCGGTTGGGTGGATCCTTCAACTTCTAGGCATGTTTTGGATTGTTGGATTGGTGATCTAGATCGATTTGAATCGGCGCTATCTCTCATTTAAAAAATATTTATATCTATTTACGCATTTAGGAAGACCTAAAAAAAAAATA